TGTCTGTCTCCGTCTGTCTGTCTCCGTCTGTCTGTCTCTGTCTGTCTGTCTCTGTCTGTCTGTCTCTGTCTGTCTGTCTCTGTCTGTCTGTCTCTGTCTGTCTGTCTCTGTCTGTCTGTCTCTGTCTGTCTGTCTCCGTGCGACTGTGTGCGTGCATGTCTGTGTCTGTGTGTCTGTGCGTCCATGTGTCTGTGCGTCCATGCGTCTGTGTGTGCGCGTCTGTTTTCGCCTCTGTGTGTGTGTGTGTGTCTCTCTGTCTGTCTGCCTGCGTGAGCGTGAGTGAGTGAGTGCGTGTGAGTGTGCGAGTGTGTGTGTGTGTGTGAAAAGGAAAGAGGGTGTGTCTGTGAGAGAGAGAGGGTGTGTGTGAGAGAGAGAGTGAGAAAGCATGTGCGTATGTGTGTGCACGAGACTCTGTGTGTGTGTGTGCATGTGTGTGAATGTGAGAGAGAGAGAGAGAGTGTGTGTGTGTGTGAGTGTGTGTGTTTGTGTGAGTAAGTGAGTGAGTGAGCGGGTGAGAATGTGAGTGTGAGCGTGAGCGTAAGTGTGAAGGAGTGAGCGAGTCAGTGAGCGCGTAAGTGCGCACGTGCGTGAGTGACTGAGTGTGTGGGTGAGCGGGTGAGTGAGTGAGTGAGTGAGTGAGTGAGTGAGTGAGTGAGTGAGTGAGTGAGTGAGAGAGAGTGAGTGAGTTGAATGACACTAGCCAAATGCTCTCCTTCATGAACATGATGCATTTATCCATGTCTACAACGCCGAATGGCATTTGGCTCAAGACTGGACATGACCGGCTTGGTCGCATAAGGAATGTTTGATTGATCGTGCGCCTGGGGAAAGGGATTGATCTCGGTTGGTCGCAACTGCCTGACTGGCTTACTGTAATTTTGCATGGTGGCGGAGCGTTGGCTCTGGATACAGGGAAAGAGTGAAAGAGAATAGACATCGGAATGAAGGGATCGGTGGCGAATCAAACGGTTCCCACCTCATTGTATCACGGTGAGCTGGAGAAGTTGGAGGATTGGGCCTGGAAACTGAAACTGTATGTTGGTTTGTACAAACTTGTGGCAAAACAAATGATGGACGATGTTGAAGGGTCGAACCCAGTGATTGACGATGACCTTTGTGAAGCGTTTGATGTTCAACAGACCAGGAATCAAAACAATGCCACTGTTCTCACGACAACTGGCCCACATGCTGGCGCAAGTCACTGATCGTGCCGCACTCGCGATTGCTAACTCTCACGGGTCCAGGATCCAGCCCCGAAGTTCAGTCCGCGAATTCATTTTATTTTTTTCTGCCCGGGTTTCGCTGTATGACATGTAAAACGGTGGGCGGCTAAAATTCGCAGCGCCATTTCAAGATTACCTTTCCAGTAAAAACAAAGCCAAGTTGTTGGGAGAGATCCTCTTTAGCAAACACAAGCAAATTGCAATTAAAAACAACCTGCAACAATAATAGTTCAAAATTATGTGGTATAACAGTTAACCAGTTAAACCAAATCATATAAGGAACAATAAAGCTAGCAAAAAGCATACACAACAAATGAAAGTATGATTCAATAAAGAGGAAACAATAAAGAAACACAATATATATATATATAAACAAATATGTAAACAACACTAGGGAAACATAGCAAATCACTGGAACTTATATAAAAAACGATAAAAACTCTCCAAAGAAAAACAAAAAGCCACAAATTAAATAATAGAGAACATAAACATGAATAAAAATAGAAAACGCATGAAACAAACAACAAACAATAACAGAAACCATGAAAACAAAGCCAGACAACAAAAAAAACACAAAAACTAATATAATATTAAAAACAAAAGAAAATAATCACAAAAAACAAAAGAAACAGGAAGAGATACTCTAGTCACCGAGCCGCAAATGCCATTGCTGGCAACAAGTGGAGCCAAGCTCTGCTTTTTCTTTCCGTCTGTTTTCCGAAGAGAGGTAACTGGGGCAAAACTTTTTGAATCAGTTTGAATCAAGATCCAGTTGAGTGTGTGCTGTTTCGTTTGTTTTTCAGGAAGCTGTCTCCGGGAATTTTGATTTGTACAGGCTGAAGAGTCTGTATAGTTTGTAAAGTCTTCACAGTCGTAAATCAATATCTCTCCGCTCCGCTCATAATTCAGTCTTGGGCAATAACAGTCTGGTAGAATGCCGACTCCACGTCTACAGCTGTGCGCCTGTAGTAAAAAACACATCTGTGTTTGCCTGTGTTCCTATACGCCTTCCGAGAGGATACACGCCCAGGTTACATATTAACGGGTGGGTGGGTGGGTGGGGATGGGTGGGTGTGTGGGCGGGTGGGCGTGTGGGTGTGTAGGTGTGGGTGTGGGTGTGGGTGTGGGTGTGGGTGTGGGTGTGGGTGTGGGTGTGGGTGTGGGTGTGGGTGTGGGTGTGGGTGTGGGTGTGAGTGTGGGTGTGTGCCGAACTCCTATTGCTAAGGAGATTGAGTTTGATCATTGAACTACTATGTATCTTTGCTGGCAGCCTATTCGGTCATGTCAGCCAATGAAGCTAGCGGAATAGGTGGAAGGAGCTATGGACGCGTGGCTCTGTACCTGCCGATTTGTCACTCGCTGAAGAGTTAGTTATATATATATATATATAAATATATATATATATATATATACATGCGGCCTTCAGGTTCTCTTAGATTTCGAAAGTCTCGTATTGCATCTAGATTTGAGCATCGTGATCTTTGATCAGACTTCACAGGCTCCCATTCGGTAAATGTTTGGCTATAGACAAGAAGAGGAAAGAGATGTGAAAGGTTGACTTCAGAAGATGGACGACAACCGGCTGTGACCGGAATCTACATGTGTGTTTTTCGGCTACTTCGTGGACTAAAACCCAGTCCGAAACTCTCACGTGCTCACTATGACTTGCTGCAGGCCTCCACCGCATCAGTGCTGCCGGAGGTGGCGCCCATTCTCTCGTCCTTGGAGATTTACACGGACAAGCAAGAGAGCACTTGGAAGGCTATGTTGTAGGTAGAAGGCAGGTGATCCGCCAAACCAAATGACCATGGCAGTCTTGTCCTTCAACTGAAGTGCGGGTTAGCAATCTGCCAGTCTGCCTCTAAAAGCATCTTGGAGCTGCGCGTCTGAGGGTTCTCGCGTATGAGCCGCCTCCACCAATGCCCGTGCTGCCTACATGGTGCCAACAGTGACTTGACTCCAATGTCCGCAGCACAGCTGGCGAACCGCTCGGAATCTAGGAATCTTGAACTTCCTTACTTCTTCCAGCGCTCGCACCCGCTCGGGAGCATCAGCTCCACCCTCGCGAAGCGGCCCGGAGGCCAGGCGCACGGCCTCTCCATCGTCTGTCTCGCGAACTTAGGAACTCAGACGTCCCCGCCTCCACATCCGACACACTTCCGGTTATTCCGTCGGTTACGAGAATGAGCATGACCTGAGATCCGCCAGGGAACCCCAACAAGCTGGACAAACTCAGCCGCAGGTCGAGAGGGCCACCGCAGCACACAACCGAGTGAATTGCAACTTGCTGGCAAGATTCGTCTTCCTTAATTTCCAAGTGAACTATACACTGCGGCCAACAGCTGCATGTACAGCCGACAAAACACATCCAGGAGCAGGAAAGCAGCTTCGGGGTCAATCGCGAAAGCTGACAGCTCAGGCCTCATTTGTGGCTGGCACTGCGAGCACACGGCTGTCTTCGAGCGAGGTCTGCACAACTGCTATGGCAGATAAAAAGTCGTATGCTTGCAGTTGCGCCGATCCCTGTGCTAGATAGGCTGCGAACACAGCAGTGATCACCTCGACCGGAACCTTGAAATCCACATCCTGGTCAGAGGAGGGCAAAGGGCCAAGGCAAAGGAGACAACGCGAAGGCAAAGGGCCCGACTCCAAACGATCGAGTCACAGACAAGCCGGCTGCGACCTGCCCGCGGGATTTCAGGATCACCTGGGCAAAAACCGGCTTCCAGTAAACCAAGGAAAAGCTCCAAGTCTTCTAAGCCCTCTAAGCGCCCTACATAAGTCTAAGCGTGTCAGACGCATGCGAGCGTGGGGCATGCGATACTTGTTGCTTCATGCATCTTGTGCGCGGAGCCCAGGGTCTGAGTTCGACCCGAGCGACCTTTCACGTCAGGATTCAGGCAGAAGGTCCTGCATATGTTCCGAGACGGGCTGCGAAGTTAGCGTGTTGGCTTCTACCTTTGGGAGCGACAATGTATCCTCGACGTTCTCGATTGAGTGAAGGTCTCCGGGAGTTGCTGAAACCATTGACTGCACTTGGACTGGAGAAGCTGCGGGCATCGAACTAGTCTCGGAGAGCGGATCCTCTTTGCTCGTGATCGTGGTGGGCTGCTCAGTCGCGACGGCAGACTCCGTGGAATGCTCGCGCACAGCATATTCCTCCACTGTCTCCCCAACCTCGTCCCACCACTCCTCCACTTGCTCGGATGCCCCGTTGTAGGTTGGAAATGATAAGCGGCTCAAACCAACCACTTTCCACAGTCCGGTCCCACACTTCTCTTGAAGTTCGTCAAAGTTGTTCTTCTTCTCTGCTTCCATTTCCAATTCTTCACCTGGGTCACCTGGGCTGCGGAAGAAAGGAGTGGATCAAGTATCTGCCCTGCATGGTTGCATAACAAAGGCTTGTTCAGAGTTCATGTGGCCTTGGCCGGGGTGCAAATCAAAAGACCTTTCTCGTTCTACATCCGCGTCACACACTGCAAGGATTTCTTGCCAGGAGTTCCGCTTAATCTGCGCCACGGCGGGTTGGATCGTGCCATAGAGATGATGATCGGCTTCATGGACGAAAACTTCTAAAAAGGCCTTGACCACATCGTTGTAGCTTACCAGGGCAGGTTTTAACTTGGGGCTCTGGGCCAGAAGCTCATGGGCCGGCACCTCTGGATTCCGCGACTCCTCCTTCGACACACTCGCCTGTAGAGCATCGGTGTCCTTGTAGAAGTCTTCGATCTCTCGCTTCACTTTCTTGAGAAGCTCTAGAGAGTCTTGCTCGCGACGATGTTTCTTTTCGAGCTCCTCTTTTTGCTTTGCTGCCTCAATGACCTCAGCCTTCGCTATGTCGTGCGACGCGATGGCCTCATCTCGGAGCGTCTGCTGTTCTTCCAAAGCCGCACGAGCTGCATGCAGAGCTGAATCTGCCTCCTCGTGCCCTGACTTGTGCTTGTCAACAAGCTGCCCTGCTTCTTCAGCTTCTGCCCTCTTCGCCTCCTTTGTCTTCTCGGCTTCCTCGAGGGATGCCTCCTTGTCAGCCAGGCGCCGCTTCTTCTCCGCAAGGTCCTGCTCCATTGTCTGCTGCTTCTCAAGCATCGTTCTCTCCGACTGCTCGACATCCTCGGTCATCTTCCGCACCTCCTCCCTTACATCTTCGAAAGCCGCAAGAGCCTGCTCATAGTCCCGGCTGGACGTTGCGTTAGCCGCCGTTGACTGTTCCAAAGCGAGCAGGGCTTGGTGCGCCCTCTCCTCCTGAGCACAGAGCTAAGACGGATGCCTCTAGAGAACGTACATGTGACTGACTCTCCAGGCCATGCTGAAGGAGGTCCAATGATCAATAGTTTAAGTTATTTAAGTTTACGATAGGCGACTCATGGCTTCGCGCATTACGAAATGAGTTTTGCTCGGGTGTTTGCTGTAGAGGTCGGCAGGAAAAACCACCTCATCATGAACAACTGCACACATTTGCACGGTGAACGTGCCTGTCAGGCCTTGTTTCGATGTTGCCTGTCCACACAATGTGAAAGACTCGCTGCCGAAGCGAGCCACCCCGGACCGCTTTGTGGATTCCGCTTCGCTTCTTCCGCTTAGGGCATCCGAGATCGATTCCAGACGGAAGCGGGTGAGACAGAGATCTGTTTGACTTCCGAGTGTCAGGGCGGTCTCAAGGTAGTTCTCGCAGCGATTGTACCGGGGGCGTAATGTGGCGGCCCACTTAATCCGACCTGCCTCTATAATGCGTTGTGGGCCGGGCTTATTCGAGCCGCCACCTAAAATGTGGGTGTCCTCTATATTGCTTTTTTTTGCCGGCGGATTTGCTGTTGTGTTGCTTCCTTTCTGCTAATGATCAATCTTAAGGCACCCACGACCTAAACCCCTCTCCAAACCCTAAATCCCCGCCCTGAAGCCCGAAGCCCCTAAACTAACCCGAAATCCCCCTTCACCCGAATATCAACCCCCCCTTTGTTAACCCCAAACCACAGACCGATTAAGCAAATTTTGTGGTCCTAAACCTTGTAAGTACTTCAGCACTGACACCTACGGAAGCCTCCTAAACCCTTTTTCTTAAGCCCCCAGCCCCGATGAAACCGTTTTAATTGAAACTAAGCAACCACCCCAAGCCCCCCGAAACCTACCGAACCCTCCTCAACCCTTCTACTCAAGCACCGAACTGAGCCCTCCTAAGCCCTTCTATTCTACTTGCGCCTTAAGACCCCATGCCAGCCGTATTAAATAGGCCGCACAAGTACTAACACTGTTGGATTCTGCCTGTAGCATTTGCAACAGTATCGGTTCGCATTGCTGTAGCTGTTGCGCGGCATAGAGAAGGGGGGATAGTCTTATAAGATTGTCGGGCCGCCGCGCATTGGAAATTAGCCAAACAATTATCTGATGTTTCCAGAGGTGTTTTCTGGAAGTTCCTATTTAATGGTTTTTGGTGTTGAGACTTTGTTTGTAAGTTTTGGGGTCCTGATTTGGTGCTTTTTTGGTGTTGGGATGTTGTTGGTGTTTGTCTGGAGAATTTGTTTTTGCGTTTCTGTGCAGCTTGCCCGGATCCAGTGTCCTGCGTTTTAGAAGTTTAGAAGTCAAACACAACATTACGAAATGAACCACTCCTCAAAAACACTAAGCTCAAACACCAAAAACACGCTAATACAAACACCCACCACTCCAAAAAAACACGAATCCCAAACACCAAGAGAGACACTAATAATATCAGCACTCGAAAAACGCCAAACTCAAAAATCAAAGCAACCCAAAATTAAATAGCTGACTGCGGCACATTCCCTGGCCGCATCTTTGTCAGAATGTCATGGTCTGACAGACACGCACCTACAGTTTATCAGACCTTGAAGGGGAGTGCGAGTTCAAGTTCGACTCCACTCTCACATTCTGAAGGGGTCTTCGGATGCAAAAGCACGACGCCGCCATGTTTCAAGGCTACCTCGAGTTCGGTTTCATTCATGACTCACTGATTTTCTGGTGGGCGGGGAGGGGGAGTGAATATAGACAGAAAAACTCTTGTTGGAAACAGCTTCAGGGGTTTCCCATACAGCTTCAGAAGAACATGGAGATAAGCGCATCTATAGGAGTTGAAACACTGCGACCGTAAAGACCGGGCACGCCGTGACGCGCATGAACTCAGTAAAACAAGACGAGCACTGTAGGGCACATGAACTGACTAAATCTCTGAGCATTATCCGGCGGCCTGTTCTTTGAGATGAGCTTGTCGATTCTCAAGTTCTTCGATATGCTGCTTGCGCTTCTCCTCCGCCTTCTTCGCGTCATCCTCCTTTTGCGAATGCTCGGCAATCGAATCTTTCAGCTGCTTCAGGCGGCTCTTGGCCACGCCCTGTGCACGTCTGACTGCTTGGTTTACCTCCCCGGGCACACTGCGTGACATCTCGTCTTCACGAAGCACCGAATGAAGCTCCGAACCATCCCGCACTGCTCCGGGCAGGGTCAGTAGACCTTGCACCAGAATCCACGAGAACATAATCGGCGACATGAAGGAAGGAAAGGGCCTGATATCAATGCATATACAGAATGATGAGCCTGAACGGCGACAACAGTAGAAAATCACACTGTGCCAGCCGGCAGAGCAGCTTTATCGCCGGAGTCAGCATGTTGGGACGTGGCTCTGTCCGTTGGGCATTGGGAATGTAGCAACCGGAAGATCGAGGTCACTGCACGGTGAGCGCCGCCGAAGGGGGCCACGGTGCCGCCTTGTTGTTCCACTCTCCTGCTTGCCAAACGACTACTAGCTTCGATAGCGAAATGGGGATGAGGATAGTACTGCTCGTCATTAACAAGAGCAAGACCAATAATCGTAAGATTTCGAAACGGTGGCAATGGCCTTTGGTGATCACACTTGTAATGTTTGCACTGGCCACGGCGACAGGAATCATTAAGGAATCCGAAGCATTGTTTGGGAAAGTGTTGCTCCGCCTCTTCTCTGCGGTGTTGTCTGGGCGGTGGTCTACCGAGAGCCTCACCGCAAAACCGTCCTGCAGAATTCGAGAGGTACCAATTTCGACAAGCTACGAACATGCAAAGTGCCGAGCTTAATCCGTTCACTTGCCATCTCCTTCTTGCCGAGAATGGCCCTGCTGTCGCCCACCTCGGGCTTCCTAACTGCACACGGACAGGTTCGCTGCGACGAGCTGAGGCACCGGCATTGGCAATCAACAGTCTGAGACGTCCCTCCTTGTGCCCAGGCAAAAGCTGTGTCGTCACAAGATATTTTTCCTTGTTTGCGGACCTTGCCAGACACCCTGAGCCTCGTCGGGCCCAGCCAAGCAAGCTGCGCAGCAGGTGCTGCCGGAAGTTGCCCAGGTCCGACCTCCAGTAGGCTTCTCCGAGCCGCAGCATAGCGCAGCATAGCGCATCGCGCGGCTCTCCGAGGCCCTGACCTGCGCCGCCTTCCAGCTTGTTGGCGTACCTGAGGCCACTCCTCGGAGGCCCTTGGCCCCCTTGCGCTTGCGCTTGCATCCGCTTGCTGGGCACTGGTGGAAGGTATGTTCGGTGACCTTGAAGCCTGCCAGCAAGGCCGACTTCAAGACCTGTTCAGCGTTCGCGTCCTCGGTTCTGGAGCTGGCAAACTCCCCCGGCCCGGCGCACACTGCGTGGTGTGCTCAGGATCGGGCTCGCTTGCGCCTCAGTTGTGGACGAGACTGGTATGCGACTCCACTGAAGCCACACATCCCGTGCGCCCCGAACCCAGGTCCCAAATGACCTCCCCAAGGGCACGAGATGACAGGAGAACGGCAGATGAGCCCTGCTGCTTTTGTATCGTTTAACTCGGCTGACAGCACGAGCTCAGGCCATGGCTGATCCCTCAAGGAGTCGAGGATGTTTCGCTCCAGATTCAGTGCGACCTTAAAATTTGGGTGATGGTTATGACCTCGTTGTGTTACATGTTTTCTTGTGTCTATACAAGAATCCTCGAATCTAGAGCTCACCCAGGTGTGCGTTTGCCCTCTGTCAAATCGCATCCTCGTGCGAGAGACATACAGACATCTTGACATCTCCCTCTGCTTTATGCCACTCCATTTTGACTTTTAGCAAGATCTGGTGAGGGCACTGCATGAAGATGCTTGAGAGAGGATGGCAGTGCAGGGAGCAGCCACACCGACGCGATTATCAAAACGTAACGGTTGTGGGTCCCTGGCGAAGTTGCTGCAGGAAATTCCAGCATGACCGTCCATCACGGCGTAAACAGCCATTGCCTTCTTGCAGCAGAGCAGATCATGGTGATTTGGAAAGTTACAGTTACACACCACAGATTTGGTGGCCTGTGACATGACGCTTTCAAGTTGAGTGGCCGACCTACGCAGGACCTAGACTGAATTGTGAGGAACGGACCGCAGACTTGACAGTGCTGCCGAGCCTTAGCTTGCTTGCAACCGCTAGCATGTAGATGCAGTGTGAGGCAGTGTGCACAGAAGCTGTCTGGTTCATACTGCGGCATGAAGCCGTCAACTTTCGCTCGGCAACTCTCGACAAATTCTCTACCCAGCACTCCTAGCCTTCTGGATGGCATCCCCAGTTGCATCAGCGCGTCACGCTCCATTGCACCCAAGCCACTAACCACAACGCTTAGGATGTTTGGGGAACCTGCGACGCCTAAACCTGGCTGAGGTACCAGTACTTTGCCACGGTCGCCGGACAGCGCTCGCATCTCTGCCAACACAGGACGAAGCACCTCCTGACTGAATCGCCGGTCCTGCTGTCGCATGGACACGCCAAGTGCTTGCAGCTGTCCTGCTAAGTCTGCCAAGCGTTTTGGAGTTCCTTCGTCTGAATCCTGCAGTGGCCCAAGAAGCCTCGAAGGATCCCTCTGTCTCATGGCAAGACACAGGGCAGTCACACGAGAGCAGAGGGCCAGGGATGCCTGTGCCTCGCAGGCCATGTCGGCCTGAAGCGACAAGGCACGACCGCTCGCCATGACGTGGCGGCTTACCGCCTTCTCGGAAATCCAAATGCCTATCTGCCACTTGGACCGCTGCCGGCAGGATGCTGCCAGTGCTGCGAAGGTGGTCGCATCTGGTTGCAAACCGCTGTCGAGGGCAAGCTGCAGGATCTCAAGGCTCCTCATCCATTGGGCTGCCTTCTCACACGCGGCAAGAGCTGCATTGTAACAGATGATGTTCGTGGCAGCACCACGGAGGCCAAGCATATGTAGAGCGAGGTCCCATCTTGCCATCTTTTCGGAGGCGGTGATAAGAGTGCCGGCCAACACTTCGTCCGAACCCAGTTTCTGCTTCTGCGACGCAGCCAGCACATCCCAGGCACGACTCAGCTGTCGCCCTCGAGTACAGGCCGTGATTGCTGAACTGTGGCCAATTAGATCAGCAGGCTCTGGCCGGGAATGGAGAAACCACATCGCAGCTTGCCACTTGGCGGCAGCCGAGCAGCAGCCTCACCGACATATGACACTCAGCAGGATGCTGCAGTAGCCTATGAGAGCACTTGCCTATGTGACCGTATGTGAAGACCAAGGAGCGAATTAAAACATTCTGGGTCACACCGTCTGGGTGCACGCGGCAGCGCTGCATCGCAGGCAGCAGTGAAAGGGCCGTTTGCCACTGCGTGCGCCGTGAAAGCTTGGACAATGCGATGTTCCAGCCGATCACCTCATGCAGATAACAAGCTGCGAGACAGGAAGCCTTGCTTGACCTGAACTTTCCCGCATGGCCTCCAAACGCTCCGTCCTGACTATGCGAGGCAACCATTGCGCAATTGCCATGGCAGCAAGTTCTCGTCGCGCTCGGAAATCTGCCTCCCATCGGCTGCAGCAACTTACCCGGCATTGGCATAGCCCCGGGCTTCGGGCCCGCCACTTGGACGGGAGTGCGATGCTCCCCAAGGATGACTTCGACTATGAAAGCTTCAGGGCACTTGACAAACACGCTTGGGCCGACATCTCTCAAGCCAAACAGATACAAGCTCTAGTCTAGAGGTCTAAGCCTTTCTAAGCTAAACTCTAGAATCATCCAGAGCAAAAGCACAAAGGCACTGAAAGCAAGCACAAGTTCTCGTGCTTCTCCAAGCATCAGGCATGCCAACCTCGCGGCTGGTTCCTTCCAGTGTCAATGGTGAATGTGTCCGACGAGGGACTTCTGACTGGAGCAGCGGGCGGTATGGGAGCGGTGCCTTCGAGGAAGCCATCCTCCATCAATGCCTCGCAGCGAGGTCTCAGATGGTCCGAGTCTAGACAAAGCACCCGGTAGGTCGCAGATCACAGCCAAAAAGGTGCCAAGTCAAAACACATCTTGTGCAGGTCCGCCTTCTTGTGGCCTTTCTCTTGAAAAACGCCTGGTCCAATCCGAAGATTTTCGACACCGTGTTTGGTCGCACCGGAGCGCCTGCTTTCAGACCCTGAAGGAGGAGCTGGCGCAGCTTGGCTTCCCTGGCTGAGAGCGCAGCTCCTCGTCAGGCAAGTCTCAGAAGCCTCTTGAGTGCTGACTCAGAACTCATACCGGCTCCTGCCGCGATGGTCAAGCCATTCTGCACGATCTTGGCGAAGCCCTGAACACGCACGTTGCCGGCACACGGCTTCCTTGGCTGATGCTGCAAATCACTCGCTGAACTTTTGCCTTTTATTTTTGGTCCTGCACTTGTCCTGCACTCCTCGCTTGTTTGCTTTTGGGCTCTCAGCCCTGTGCCTCTTGGACCGCGCGGTTGCCGGGTTGCTTGGCCTACCCGATCTTCCTCGCCGCTCGGGTCCGTCTTCCGACTTCCGCCTCTGTTTTGTGCCGTCCTGCATTCATTCTGCTCTGCCCCGGTGCTGCATTGCGGAACCTCCGCCTGTACGTAGCTCGCTGTCCTCACTCTGTCATGCCACAATTCAGTCGCTTGCTGAGGAAAGGTCTGACTTTTTCAGTTTGACAGGTGATTTCGCTGACGGAATCCAGGCACTAAGACTCGGTAAACCGAGGCAAAATCGAGAAAATATTGGCATTGGCTCTCGCCAGCGGTGGCGGAAGCAGAGACACAATGACACTGTCAGCAGCAGGGGGTGCAGCCAAAGCTCCCATCATCCTGTGTGGTCATCTCAAACGACACCAGTGCCTAAGCAAATCCATGTGGTCCCTCTCGTAAATGACGGACAAGTTCATGTTTACACATGTCAGATCTTCGCTCTCAGGGACAGGGACTCCGAGCTCATGCGCAGAATAGTTCAGAGCGTTGCCGCGCCCTAGAAACACAATCCGCATCACTGAGTCCTGAAGCCTGAGCTCCTGGCTCCCGGTGCCAGGGCGGCATAGTTGTCGCCCTCAGTGCCTTGAGGCTTACAAGGCTTACATTCCACTTTGTTTCGTGATGCTGAGGGTCTTTGACAGCGAAGATTTGCCACACGAGCTGGCTGTGGACATAAGACGACCGAACGCCCTCGGTCGTGGACCATCTTCGATTTGCTTCTTGTGCACGAAGATCTCCTCACTGCGCAGCAGGATGGGGTCAAATGCGAAGCCCGACTGCCGGGATCCTATGGCCGACGGCCTTTTTTGACAGGAAACTCAGCAAAGCCGTATGTACACAGAAGCCCTAGTGCCTACAGGAAGGCCCTACAACAGCCCCGCGACAACCGAAACCAGGCAGCCTCCCGACTATGCGGCTTTAGAATCCGCGGGCAAAACCAAAACTATGTCTCGGAGCAGAGTCCTCGGGTGCATCCTCGCCAGGTCGCGGGTCCAAGGGCCTCGGCGCGTTGAAGGATGACGTGGGACACCCTCGCAAAACCCCTCTTTCACAGCACCCCGTCGCGTCGTCCTGCAAGGTTACATGCACCAAAGATCCGACAGCTTTGTTGTAGCATCAGGTGCCGGCAGGATCTTGCCGAAGCCCTTGTCCTTATCGAACCACCTAAAGAGCCACCGACGCATCTGCAGCGAGAGGGTGATAACTCCGCTTTTCCGGCCCGATCCTGCCTCACTCTGCCCTCGAGGCGCTTCTTCGACTGGAACTGGACACTGAGGACTGCCCTGGAGACGAAGCTTAGTGAGTTGCCGGATGTCTGTCCCCGACACGAGATGACAGCACCGGCATTGAGCTCCCTGCTTCAGGTCTGGAGCCCGCACCGTTCGGGCCATCCTGATCCCAAGTAGGGCAGGGGCGGAAGAAGCATGAAAAAGAAACGACTTGATTCATGCCTGCATGCTGCATGCCATTTTAAGTCTTGTCTTTTGTGCACTGGCCTACACGGGGCTCCACTTCCAGCCCAGCTTGGCCATATGTACGTGAGAGATATTGTAGGCAAGCCGAGGGCCAGCTACTGCCCAAGACACGCCTTGGGAGCCATGGCCCCAGCTGTAGACTCCCCTGTTGCCTTTGAAGAAATGCTTCACTGCGTCATGGACCCCAGGACAGGACTGCTGCCGGTAACCGTGCACGTAAACTTCACCGTGGGCTTGAAGCCTTTTGTAGACCAGCTTCAGTGGCAGGATGGTTTGTGGATAGCTCTCTGCATCTATGAGTGCAAAGGCGACCTTCGAAGGCAAGGCTCTTTCGGAGACTTGCACCATGTATCCTTCATGGACCTCTGGCATCTTAGCACCCTGGCTCCACAAGAAGAAATCAAAGAGCCACCGCCGTGTCTTCACAATCCCTTGTGCAACCCTCCCAGGCCAGCTCCGCCACACATTGTTCAGCAGCTTGTCTCTCATGCGATCACGCTTCGGGAAGCCGGGACCTTTGAACGGGTCGTAGACATGATGCGCCCTTCTGGGCTCCCCACTGACCTGGGAATAAATGTCCAGAAAGCGACTAACCCACAAGGTGGTTTCGCCCACGCCAACGCCGAACTCCAGCACTGCACCTTCGCCAGGGTCCATCGCCAAGCTGCGCTCGAGACCGCTCAGCAAAAGCTCTGCCTCCCTGCGCGTGACCCCCTCCCAGCGAGCCCCAGCCCAGCAGAAGCTCCGAAGCGTCTCGGCGACCATCGGGGACACGTCCGCAGAGGCGGTCGTGTTACAGCTGAGCTGCTGCAGAAAAGGCCCAGGCACCAAAGCCGTCCAGGCAATGCAGAAGTATATACCACAAGCCAAGGCCAGCAGCATCACCGACAAGGCCAACATCTCCAGGACCGGCTCTTGCTTCGACTCTTTGAGCTGCAGGGTGGTCCCTCCCAAAGTGACCCGTGGGAGTGGGGCAGACTCCTCCTTCACAGGAGCGACCGGCCACATACCGACCAGCTTGCCTCAGGCAATCGTGTCTCAGTGACACTTCACTATACGTTGATTAACACGTTACGTCAAGTTGCTGTTTCCATCCAAGGAGCTGGCAACTCTGAATGCGAGCAGAAGCTGCAGGATGGCCAAGGTGATGGGAATGAGCAGAACGACCGTGGCAACTGCGAGTGCCTTCGGTCGACTCTCCCTTTGCAGGGCCGACTCGTAGCTGTGCGCCCTGGCCGTGGCTTCCGTGCTCTCCAAAACGGACCTCCTGAGTGCGAGATACGATGTGCTGCATTGTGCTGCGCCCACTCAGCCCACTCTAATCCATGCTCACGACCGCAGCGGTCCTGGTGGAAACACCACTCGCCGTGTCCTGGTCCATGAGTTCAGCGAGTGGAGCATCTGAGCGAATCAGCTGGCCCTGCACAAGCGAAGCCAACATGGGGGCTGCCTGGGGCGAGGGCAAGCCGGGCCTGTGGGGTCACCGCGATCGTGGCCTCGAGACTTCACTCTTAAACCTCTTACTCTAGCAGCCTATGAGAAACTCGAGGAGGCATCAGGATGTCTCGCATAACAGTCGATTTGGGACCACGATGAAGTTAGGCCACGTGGCGCAACGGCTGGTCTGCAGATTCGCCACCAGAATTACGTAGAGCATCGACACAGCCACGTTCATGATGAGCTTCGGCCTCTTTTGTGACGTCAGTGGAAGTCTCTGCTCAGTGCTGAAAAGTCTGGCGACTTGGGCTCAGGCACGTATGGAAACTCGCGCCCAAGGCTCTTGGATGCGAGAGAGGCCTAAAATACCTAGCCTTGAGGCTGACTGCGGACCAGAAGAGATCTCACTTTCACTTTCGTTCAGCTTTCCAGACTCTGAGGCTCCGACTTCGACGCCGCACTTTTGTCTGCCTGTGCAGCTTGACCAGTTGCCATGCACCGGCGCAGGTCTGAACTATTCTGAGGAGGAGGCCATGTCCTGGCGTGCCAGGCAGCGCACGTGGCCATCCAGGCTTCACATGTCCAGCACACCGGTGAGGTGTTTGGAAACACGCAACACTGTGTCATGCGCAATGGTCTGTTGTAGATGTCGCAGCTGTCTGTGCCTCCTAGGACACCGCATCATGCATTTAGGATCACGAAGAGTAAGCGATTAAGGCAACCTAGAGGCGTCTGCACCTCTGGCATGACTTGGCATCTACGTAGCGCCAGGACCGGAGGTGAGGGTCGGGGATGGGGTGAGTCCAGGATGTCATTCGAGCGGCCTTCTTGAAATGGCTGAAGCGGTTGGAATCTGCATGCCTACGTCCCCTGCCAGGCTGCAGTACATACAAAATCATACAAACACAAGCACAAGGCAAACATGGCAGATCATCATGTGCTTTCTCGAAGGCAGTGGGTACCTGGCCGACAGAACTTCCTAGACAATCCGACTAGGAGAGGCCCACTTTCCCTAACTGTCGCACAAGCATCTCTGAACGTCCCTGCTGATGGCAAAACTTCCCGAGTGCCCCACCCGCACTCGGGCTTTGCCTGGCATCGTGCTTCACCACATTGTTCTCTGGTATCTTCGTTTCTTGCGGCAAACAAGACTGGCGGACGCATCATGGGAGCAGTGCTAGCACTATCATCGCCGTCGTCATCCGACCTTGATTTGAGACAAGTTTCATATCACGGAAACCTTCGTAGGCTTGTGCGGGCCCTGGCTCTGACGCCTCATCTGCGAATCTCACATGCGCATGGCCATCCTCATCCTCATCATCCTGCGCTTCCTCGTGCAAACTCTCTATACGTCGGAGCTACTGACACCGTGAAGCTGCAGCAGCCGTACAAATCGGAGTAGGTTAGGACTAGGAGGAGTAGGAGTAGCGCCGTAGCCGTAGTAGTAATAGCAGCAGAAGCAGCAGCATAGTAGCAGCAGTAGTAGTAGTAGTAGTCGTCGTCGTCGTCGTAGTCGTAGTCGTAGCAGCAGTAGTAGTAGTAGTAGTAGTAGTAGTAGTAGGTAGTAGCAGAGTGTGCTCTCACCATGGTCCGCAAGGGGGCGCGAAGTGACGTGTCAAGCTTGCTTCGGTTTGCTTTTTTTCTTACCAAAACGGCACGTCATGCCGCCTCCCCCCCGAAACGACCAAAACGAGCTTATAATAGCGGTTCTGCCATGCCTCTTCAATGTAGTAGTGGTAGTTGGCGCCCCCCACTACCAACTACATCTCCTAAACACTGTTTAAATGCATATCCATGTTACTCGGTATGTACAGCCCTGTTATGATGTCGTAGTCCAATACGAACCACCGCCACCGCTGTTGAGGGGTGGGGGGGCTGGGTGGCGGGGGGATGTTGACTTACAATACTTTCGTGATGTTGTAGTCAATACCAACGATGATGATGACGACGGGTTTATGCTTCAGGTAGTTGGTAGGAGGGGGAGTGACTAGTAGCAGTAGCAGTAGCAGTGGTAGCAGTAGTAGCAGTAGTCGCAGTAGCAGTAGCAGTAGTAGTAGTAGTAGTAGTAGTAGTAGTAGTAGTAGTGGCAGTAGTATTAGTGGTATTAGTAGTAGTAGTAGTAGTAGTAGTAGTAGTAGTGGTAATAGTAGTATTATAGTAGTAGTACACCTAAGTAGTACTAGCACTAGTGGCAGCAGTAGCAGGCTGGGAGCCGTTGTTAGTATCGTTTGTGAAGCTAGGCCTTACGTGAGTTGAGTAGGTGCCCAAAAACTCTGAGGGATGCTGGATGTGGCTGGAGATGTAATTCCTGGAGCCGATCTCGAAATGGAATCCAATCTCCTACACCCCTACGGCTGGTCCTGAACCCGCCCTGCCGCAAGATTCCGCAAGATGCTCAGAAGACCAGAAGCCCCCCCTAAACGAACAACAACGGCCAGATCCACACTGCCATCCTCATACCCTAACAATCTCTGCGGCCTACAACCCCCCGAAACAGAAAGCCCAACAGTCTCGACCTATTCTGAACTTAGAAGCCTGCACAACCGTAAACAACAGCAATCATACATGACAAACAGACAGCCTTTTATAGCATGGCCCCTAGCCTGAACCCCCAACACCCCGAGGTCCCCACGTTGCACGTCGGATCTTTGCGGTACCAACAGCCTTGGGAACAAAGGCATTAGCCCCTACACCCCAAATCGGTTTCGGTTTTCGGTTAGTGTTCACACTCTAGGCTCCAGGGTGGTTGCGTTTAGGGCCAGTGGAACTGAGCAGCGACGAGGTATGCCAGACTTGTCAGTGAGACAGTACGATTGCCTCTATATTGTGATTCAGAGACGTGGCTTCTCAAGCAAGCGTGAAGGAGTTCGAGCTTGAGTCTCAGGTACGAAGGTAGGTCATCTACCACAAACCCAACGTGTCTCTTATAGAATAGTCTTCATCGGCTATTTCGTCTTGGCTTTTGAGATGATGAGACGCGAACAATCTATAGTTGGGAGGTTCAGCTGCTTCGGGCACGGACGACGCTCGAAGGCAAGCTTGCATACAGGGTTTAGAGTCTAGAGTTTGGGCTCTTCGGTCCCAGAGGCGGTCGGGTGTGAATCCACTATCGGTCATGAAGCCGCCGCACTCCTCTTGCAGCACAGGAGGATACATTGTGCTGGTCGCATGTAATCAATTGCAATCGATAGATAGGTATGTAGGTAGGTAGGTAGGTAGGTAGGTAGGTAGGTAGGTAGGTAGGTAGGTAGGTAGGTAGGCAGGTACATAGACAGATAGATAGATAGATAGATAGATAGATAGATAGACGGGGCGGATAGACACGTGCAAGAGCACGTCTTAATCACAAGCCAGGACACATGACTGGCATACACACATGCAGATGCACAAAAACCGCCCGTATTTCCGAGCATGTATGTCACGCTGCACACAACCGACATACCTCTCCGCCTACCAACAGTCCTGCCTGCATGAACACATGAAATAGGATGTAAAACATGTGACAGTCATTTCTGTGCGCCTGTGTAAAGAGAGACATAGAGGGAGACTCTGCAAACACACTCATGCACCAGCACATACAACTGCAACGCTGTGCTAGCTCGGTGCTCTGCTCTCCAGATTATGTAGCCAGTTTCACTTGTACATACATGTACTGCTTGTCTTAATTATGCGGTTAGGTCAAACACCCCAACTTCTCGTAGCAACACCAGGAAACACAGATACAAGAAACCATACATGTTCACTAGCACATATGCACCCGTGCAACCTCCATAAAGTATAAATGCAACATGCAAACACGGAGACAAGCAGGCACAGGCTCGAGCGGAGACATACCAACAAACAACCAAACACACAACGGAACAGGACAGCGGACTTCAAGGCGTCGGCCCCCCAACAAGTCTAAGCCTTACAGCGCCAAAACCCAGTATGCAAAAGGGTGAACCCTAAACCCTAAAGCCCCGAAATCCCCAAACCCTGAACCACGACTTTCAAAGGATCGATCAAGAAAATTTGGGGAGGGAGCTTTTAGGATCTGGAATTTAGGAGGTCAGGCAGTAAGGGTTTCAGTGGTGGGCAATCTGGTCCAGGGTTTGGGGTGTTGCTTGCGCGGTAATTCTAGCAATATCATTTATAGTCTATGTCTGTGTCTGGTATCTCTGATTCACGGAGCACCCGCATAGGAAGAAAGGTCTGCATTGTCAAGCTCATTAGCTGTTTCAGACAATACCTTGACCCTTGAGCCCCAAAAACCAAATCACCAGAAACAACCCCACAGCCCCAAACACTTTCGGACCAAAGACTCCGAACTTAAAGCGAAACAGCACTAAGGGTCCTTGTTTGCCGAGCAGAGAGATCCACAATGGGTTCCGAACTTGGTGGCCAGCTGATATGAGTGATGTGAGGGTTTGGATTTGAGGCTCTTGGCTTTAGGGTTTTGAGTTAAGAGTCTATAACGTGTGCTTAGGGCTTGGGGTTTTGATGTGCCGGCTACGTGACACATATCTGCGCCACGTGGAGCTTGTGCATGGGATACCGGTGTGGCAAAGCCTACAGCGGGCATGTGAGGTTTTGCAGTCCCTTTAACTGAGAAGCAGGGTTTCTGGAACTTCTCAATGACAGATGACATGGCAGATAGTTTGCAATTGTTTGAGCCAGCTGAGTCCTGCAGCTGGAGTTCTGTCACGCGTATTCTGAGAAAAGAACCTGCAAATCAGCGCCAAAGCAACAAGACTCCAACAAAAGGTGAGCCCGGATGTTCCAGTTTACTCAACATCGACGGATTAAGGGCTTGATTAGTGGCTTAGGGTTTAAGGGTTCTGGGTGCGAGGGTTACCAAGCTGACGAACAGAAATGATCCGGCTGTAAATCCTCAGCAAAGTAGGGCCGTTCAATTTACAAGTTATTGATAAGGCGAGAGTTTCTAGCCTAATATTACATGGTTACAACCTGCACGACGCGGTCGCTCTATAGTATACCCCGACTTGCACCTGCTGGCAGGCATGGTGCGTGAGCTGGAGTGGTCTCTGTAAATCGCTCCCCGTTGTCGAGGAAGACATTGTTCCCGCTGGGGCAGTCACCTGACCAGCCACCTCGACGGCGAACTAACGAATTAGGGAACGGTGGATGCATGGCAGCGGATACCTGGCTCAACAACAGACGTAAGGAGGATTTCCTTATAAGGGATTGCAGTGTATATAGTCCCAAAAGTCCTTCCGTGAAAAGTCCCCATATGATAAC